TTTGAATCTGGGTCTGAGATCACTGCCTGTAAACCCAGAGGAATTTTGGATGGCCTTTGACAGCGTGCCCCCTCAAGGCTGCCCTTCTGTGCCCTTAGGTTTACTGTCCAGAGAAGAAGAATGGCATTCTCAGTGCCATCCCCTTCCATTTGAAGGAAACCCATGCTCATCGAAATCACATTCCCTCAGCAAGCATACTTCTCCTAGGAAACAACCTTCTGAGTCTCACAACACCCTGGGGGATAGAGGGAGACATGAATCACCACTTTTAGGGATGGAACTCATTGTTCTGGACCAAACTCTTTTTTCCATCCCCACCTCTCATCCAGTTCCATTACCACTTACATCACCTGGTCTCCTAGGAGCCCTGCACAGTGACAAAAGGCCACCTTGTATGGCTCAGGGAATCATTTCCATGGTGGGACCACATTGTAATGTTTGACATTTGTATACGTGAAGAGCAGGTAGATGCTGGGATCCAGTTTCTCCAGGTCAGTTCTTGCCTTTGGCAGTCCTTGCCTTGAAGCGGAACCTATGAAAGGCTTCCATGGTTGAACTAGTTCTGATGGGGGTAGGCCAGAGTCCAAGCTTCCTCACCCCTGTCTGCAGCATGCACCATGTTTTTAGCCATAACTGTAGAACCTATGTACTGTACTCAGAGTCAGGTAGGCCTCCAACCACCAGCTAGACCTGGAACTCAGAGCACTGGGTGCTCAGGTAGCATCCCTGGAACAGTATTCTCCCCGGTACACACTCTACTCCCCACCCCGCTTTGACCTAGGCTATAGTGCAGGCTTCTGCCTTGAGCCCCACAATAAAGTATGATTCATTGCCCTTCTAACACTCCAGACTCATGTCCCATCCGCATACCATTCCCCTAGCACCCCTATTTAGAGCCCTGTTCTGAAGCCCTAACCAAATGGTGTATATTTTGTTTTTTTCTGCCTTGATTCTTCTGGCCCAACTCCCTAAGACTGGGAATGCTTTTTGCACCCAGCCCCCAGGCTCGGTCTTGGGGCCTGTGGATGACGCTTGGGTATTAGTCACCAGGCTGGTTTTCCTTAACCTGCTTCCATCCTCACTCCTTCTTTTTCCAAGGTGACAGGACTCTCTAAGTGGTGCTTGCTTGATGTATAATATGCTCTCAGTTCTTGCCCTCTGCCCACCACATTTATTCAGTCATTTGGGCATCACTACTTCAAAAATTTGGCACACTTGGCATAATTAACTTCAGAGGGACTTTAACTCTAGGAGCTGTGCCTCTCATGTGCTTTAATGTTGACTTTCACAATCGATTTCTAGAATTAGAGGCTTAATCCTTTTCTCCCCCTTGTATGAAAAGAGGTTGAATTGAATTTTGATTTTCTGTAGAAGAAAAGAAAAATCTGGAATAAGGACCATGTCCTGGCCCCCAAGTTCTGGTGTTCATCCTTCTGCTTGTCCTTCTGTTGCTGTGTGTGTCTGCGTGTGCACTGAAAGGCTCAGACAGAATGATTCTGGTGAACTTTGTAAATGAACTTGGGAAGAACTGCAGGATGCAATTAAGGGGGAAACTGAAGACATGGTTGGCCCAGGTTGGCTGGGAGGTGCTGGGGGTGAGTCAGGAAAGTCATTTCACCAGTGTTGGCAATAACTCACCCTCTTTCCAGCCCAGAGGGATGAGGGCTGTTGGCATGGGGACAATAATTTATTGCTATTTCCCACCAAGGATGGAAAAACAGTTGCCATAGGGTAGATAGGGCAAAATGTGAAGTTCAGTTGAGCCTTGAGCAACATGGGTTTGAACTGTGTGGGTCCACTTACATGTGGATTTCTTTTTTATAAATACAGTACAGTACTATAAATTTATGTTTTCTGTTTAGCTTACTTTATTGTAAGAATACAGTATAGACTACATAAAACATACGAAGTATGTGGGGTTTTTTTATTATGTTATGTTAATCACCATACATAACATCATTAGTTTTTGATGTAGTGTTCCATGATTCATTGTTTGCGTATAACACCCAGTGCTCCATGCAGAA